TTGATGAGCTCAGCTCACATCTGCTGTGCTACTTTATCTGTACCCTGAACCTGCTTTTAAAAGAAATACCGTGGTCCTGTATTTTGCAAGTAATTTTTTAGAAATCTACATTATCATTTTTAAACCTTTCTTGAAATATTGTATGCACACAGAAAGGTGCATATCGTAAGAAATAGCTTGATGAATTTTCACAAACCAAGGACATGCATGTAACCACAACCCAGACCCAGCAAAAGAGCATGTCAGGTACCCCCGGACCGCACCCCAGGCTCTTCCCAGTCACTACCCCAGTGCCAAACCAAGCGTATCACTACTCTAATATCCAAACAGCAAAGATACATTTCACCTGTTTTTGTACTTTTGATAAGCAGTACCACATAACAAGCACTTTATTTGCATTGAGCTTCTTTGCTCAAAATCATGTTTAGTTGAGGCATCCGCGACTGGTGTCGTGTGGAGTTGTTACTCAGTCCTGTTCATTGCTATGTATTATTCCACTGCATCAATATACCCTTTACTTATCTCTTTTTCAGTTCCTAGGCATTTGGGTAGTTTCCAGTGTGGGGTTCTTAGGAACAGTGCTCTATGAATATTCTCTTATAATATACATCTTCGTTCTTTTCCTCTTATTTATTTATTAAAAACAATGGAAATGAAGCTTGCTGTGTTGCTCAGGCTGGTTTTGAACTCTTGGGCTCAAGCCGTCCTCCCACCTTGGCCTTCCCAAGTGCTGGGGTTACACCATGAGCTACTGGGCCTGGCTCCTTTCTTTTTAATTCAAATGTAATAATTGTCCATATTTATGGGTACATAGGGGTGTTTCCGTACATATAATGTTTAGTGATCAGATCAGAGTAATTAGCATATTTATCGTCTTGAACATTGATCATTCTTTTGCTTTTCTTGGAGACAGAATCTCGCTCCGTTGCCCAGGCTGAAGTGCAATGGCGCCATCTCGGCTCACTGCAACCTCTGCCTCCCAGGTTCAGGAGATTCTCCTGTCTCAGCCTCCCAAGTAGCTGGGAATTACAGACATGTGTCACCACGCCCGACTAATTTGTATTTTTAGTACAGATGAGGTTTCACCATGTTGACCTGGCTGGTCTCAAACTCCTCATCTCAGGTGATTCACCTGCCTCAGCCTCCCAAAGTGCTGGGATTACAGGCATGAGCCACTGAGCCCGGCCAGCATATGCATTTTTAGTTTTGTGGGGAAAAGAAAGAGATCAGCCTGTTACTGTGTCTATATAGAAAGAAGTAGATATAAGAGACTCCATTTTGTTCTGTATTTGAGATGCTGTTAATCTGTGACCCTACCCCCAACCTTGTCCTTGCAAGAGACATGTGCTGTGGTGACTCAAGGTTTAATGGATTTTGGCTGTGCAGGATGTGTCTTTGTTAAACAAGTGCCAGAAGGCAGCTTGCTGGTTAAAAGTCATCACCATTCCCTTAATTTCAACTACACAGGGACACGTACAAGGCCAAAGGTCGCAGGGACCTCTGCCTAGGAAGCTAGGGTATTGTCCAAGGTTTCTCCCCATGTGATAGGCTGAAACAATGCTGCTCAAAGGTTTATGGAGATGTTTGCATATGCATCTCAAGGCACAGCATTTTCCTTTAAACTTATTCATGTCACAGAGATTTTTGTTCATATGTCTTACTGCTGATTTCCTCCCTACCATGATCCTATTGTCCAGCCACTCCCTTATCTTTAAGATGGTAAAGATAATTATCATTAAATATTAAGGGAACTCAGAGACTGGTGCTGGCGTGGGTCCTCTGTAAGCTGAGCGCCGGTTCCCTGGGCCCACTTTTTCTTTCTCTATACTTTGTCTCTGTGTCTCATTTCTTTTCTCAAGTCTCTCGTTCCACCTAACGAGAAACACCCACAGGTGTGGAGGGGCAGGCCACCCCTTCAAGTTTTGACAGAAACAGCCACATCATGCTCCTTAGGGTGGTGCCAATTTACACTTCCACCAGCAATGTGTCGGAGTGATCATTTGGGACAGGTGAGGATGGATGGGGCAGGAGACCTGTGAGATTAAAATAACACTCCTGGACGAGTGTGAATGAAAAGAACAGAAGGAGCTGTGCTTAGACCCCCAAGGCCTTAGAGGAAGATGCATGAAGCAGAGACCTGAGACTGCAGCAAAGGCTTGTGAATTCATCGTCTCTTGTGCAGCAACATAGGGAGGATCCCTTCAGATATGTTGGCACAGGGCTTTCCGGTCAAATGATCTGTCTAATGAGGAAGCTCTTTAGATGCTGGCTGGGTTCGGGAATCCCAGGGTGGGAATGAAAGAGGTGCTGGGAGAGAGAGGCTGAGCTGCAGCTGCTGGGGTTGAGATGGGGGAGGAAGAAAGGATGGGGCCAGGCGCAGGAGAACAGATAGCATCCAGGAAGGCCTACCCGTATCCCTGGAGCCTAGCACACTGCCTAGCTTCAAAGTAGCTACGTGGGAAATGTCAGAAAAACAAATCCAGCAAAGGAGCCAGGACAGGGTGAAATTCCTTCCCAGAAACTTGAGAAATCCACCTGCTTATCCCATGACAAAATGTGAGGAGGATGGAATGTTGGTGGGGGTGGGAGCTGATCCCCCTGTTGTCATTCACGTGGCCTTCCTCAAACCCTATCCACATCTCATACTCTCATCCGATCTGAGTTGTTTCCTTTTAAAACATCGTCGCTAATCACTCATTCAGCAACAATTTAGGGACCACCTACTATGTGCCAAGCCCTGTTCTTTCTGCTCAGGCTTCAACCCTAAATACGATAACCATCCCTGCCCTTGTGAATCTGAAACACTTAAATGTGTCGTTACAAGTCGTGCCAAGTACCATGAGGATAAGGTGGGCCCAGGCTCTATGGGAGAAGTGGTCAGGGAGGGCTGATCACTTTTACAGGGAAGTGACTTTTTTTTTTGAGGTGGGTTTCACTCTTTTTGCCCAGGCTGGAATACAATGGCATGATCTCAGCTCACTGCAACGTCTGCCTCCTGGGTTCAAGCGATTCTCCTGCCTCAGCCTCCCGAGTAGCTGGGATTACAGGTGCCCGCCACCACGCCAAGCTAATTTTTGTATTTTTAGTAGAGATGGGATTTCACCATGTTGGCCAGGCTGGTCTCCAATTCCTGACCTCAGTTCATCTGCCCACCTCGGCCTCCCAGAGTGCTGGGATTATATGTGTGAGCCACCGCACCTGGTTGGGAAGTGACATTTAAGCCACGTCTGCAGATGCTAGGTGTTAGCAAGGCAAGAAAGAGGGAAAGGCAACCCAGGCAAAGGAAACAACATGTGCAAAGTCTGGAGGTGGGAAAGCACTTGGGTTATCGTGGCCGTGGGAGCCAGGGTGGAGGGAGCTCAGGGCAGTGGGATCAGAGTGAGGCAGGGAAGGTTTTGAGGGAAAGGAGCACACAGGACCTGGAACTATGCCAAAGATTTGCTGTTTTGTTCCAAAGGCAATGGCAAGAAGGCATTAAGAGTTTTAAGCAAGGAAGGGATGAGACGAAATGTATGTTTCATAAAGTTGACTCAGCTATGGAAAGTGGGCTTGGGAGGGTGAGAGTGACCCCGGGGAGACTGGGCGTTGGGAGATCATCCCTGGCCCTCCTACAGCCCAGCTCCAGCCTCTGGCCCTGCCTTCAGCAGACAGCCTGGGTTGGCTGTTACCAGAAGCAGGAGCTATGGAAATTTTCCCGTGTGCATGCTGAGAGGCCCAGGCTGTAATAGACTTCCTAGCAAGAGAGAGTCTGAGATCAAGCTGAGCTGAGTTAAAATGAAACAGATCACTTTGCAGCAGGACTTATCAGAGCCTTTGATTGGGAACTGTAGCTGGTGAGCCCTGGGGAAGGGCCTGGAACGTAGTGTGTTCTGTACTTATTTTGAAACTATGTTTTCCATTGTACACTTTGCTACCAAGCTCAGTCTGAGAAACTGCTCCATTTCCTCTTTACCTTTCTAGGGAATATATGCTACTGAGCGTGCTTAATTCTCTGTCTCACAGCCTCTGCTCAGGGAAGTGGAACACCATTCTGTTTGTTACAGACGGGGAAACAGATGTGTTCAGGTCTTGTGCCTGGGACCTTGCGGGAGATTGACAGTGAGTCTTGGTCACCAGCGAATCACAGGGGCGTCCTGGAAGACTGTGGGGTATCAGCTTCTTCCACTTCTCCTGTCCATGTCTTGTAGACAACACTGCCCTGTCCTATCTACTTAGGGACATTGCCATTAGTGTCCACCTCTCCTGTCTCTCCTGATTGCTTTCTTTTCCTCATGATCTTTGTCTCTTTTTTTTTTTTTGAGTTGCAGTCTCACTCTGTTGCCCAGGCTAGAGTGCAATGGTGCGATCTCAGCTCACTGCAACCTCCACCTTCCCGGTTCAAGCGATTCTCCTGCCTCAGCCTCCCGAGTAGCTGGGATTACAAGCATGCACCACCACGCCCAGCTAATTTTTGCATTTGAGTAGAGACGGGATTTCACCATGTTGGCCAGGCTGGTCTCAAACTTGTGACCTGTCTGTCTCAGCCTCCCAAAGTGCTGGGATTACAGGTGTGAGCCACTGCTCCCAGCCTTGTCATGATCTCTTATTGGTTTTGGGAGAAATAAGAAGTTGACTCCCTCAACTAAGAGCTTCAGTGCTATTTTTTCTTTTTTTTTCTCTCTTTCTTTCTTTCTTTTTTTTTTTTTTTTTGAGACGGAGTCTCTCTGTCTCTCTGTGTTGCCCAGGCTGGAGTACAATGGCACGATCTCAGCTCTCACTGTCCCTTCTATGAGAAGACGATGAGCCCAGCATTTTTGGCCCCCAGGTCTTTTTATGATGCTTCCAGCACAGCCCCCTGCAGGCCTCTTGTCTTCCTGGCTCTACCATGAAGTGTCCGCTGCTGGGGTCACTCTGTTGGGTGCCATCCAAGTGGATGTGGTCATTTTGGTCCCTGCCCTGGCGTCTAACCCCAGTGATGTGAAGGAAAAAGACCAGCAAAGAGAGCAGCTCCACAAAACCTGTTCAGCAGGTTATGTTTTTATTCTACATTATTGGTAAGACAGGGAACAGGGCCAAGACCTCCACACTCCCCTGGGAAGGACAGTCAGGAGAATTAGATACATCTAAAGTGGGCAGAGGACGGAGGTCAGATCTTCCTGGGAGGTGGCTGGAAAGACCTGGGCTTAAGCCACGGGAGCCAGGCCGACCTGGTTGTTTGCCCTGTCGAAGACAGTGAAGTACTGGCGGATGAAGACATCACCCAGGATCCAAAGCTCTCCAGATTCGGTGGGGACGTCCATGCCCTGGAAGCCGCTGGTGCAGCTGCCCTGGCTCTGGAGAAAAGGAGAATAAAAGTGGAGTTGAGACGCCGATTCAGCAGTGACAGGCACTGGGTGATAAACATCCAGGGCGCCCTGGTCCAGCTGCAAGGCACGTGCAAGGAGGAGCTTCCTGGCTCAGTGTCCAGGGACTCGGCTGTTCTTGGCCTGGAGTCGGCCTGTAGAAGCTGTCCACAGCACGGTTGGTTTCTACGCATTACTGGAACATTATCTGGTGTTTCTGGCAGGCACAGGAACCTGACATCAGCATCAGAGCTAAGGCCTTGGGGAGAATTCAGCTGGTAGGAAGGAGTGTGAAAACTCAGCCCACACAGCCTTTCTCATGATTATTCTGATCCCGACCAGGGGCAAACCGGAGAAGCTGTTAGCCTCTTGCCTCACTAAGTCACTGGGCTGTGACCTTGTCTGCACGTCACCTGGGGAGCTTTGAACTCCCGCAGCTCATCCCATTGCTCAGGCCTTGCCCTCTCCTAATGTAATCAGAATCACTGGGGGAGCCCAGGCATCAGTGCTTCTTGTTGAGTAACATCAGTCCACTGCAAAATCAGTTTTCCACCTGACGTTATAATAATAGAAGGGAGAGTTTTCCTGTGGCTCGTACAGCTAAAGATTTGCTACTTGGTAGAGATGGTAGGAGTGTCGGAAGCCCCAGCCTGTGGAAATGAGGATTTCCCTTTACCCAACCTTGGTAGCTCAGTCTCACTTGGATGTGATCAGTCTCACTTGGTTAACCTAACCGCACTCTGAGGGTGGGGAAAGCTGCCATGTCTACATTTTGGAGGAGAAAACGGAGGCTGAGATGAGCTGTGGCTTGCTGAGAATCAATGGGCTGGTAATTCAGACCCAGGACTTGGACCCAGGGATCCAAATAGAATCCTCTTTTCCCTCCATTAACCTTTGCTTCACTTGTTCCCTTAGGGGACTGTATCCAAGTTCTTATTCCTGCGTTTGTTTTCAATCTGTTCCTTCTCTCCGGAGCTGTCTGGGGGCAGATGTTCGTCTGCCTCTGCCTCTCGGCTTCAGCTCGTGGAAGCGCACTTTCCCTCTGCAGAGGGACTCTGTGGCCACATTCTGTGTGAGCCCCTCTAGTGGATGGTCAGAGCCCCCTCACCTGCAGGATGTAGGCACTGGGTGGCAAAGGGTACTGGACTCCGTTGATGGTGAAGACGATGTCGGGCAGGCTGCTGATGGCTGAGCAGCTGACCACCATCTGGAAAGAGTGAGGTGAGAAAAGTTACAAGGGTTTTGGTCCCGTGTGCCTGGCACACCCACTATTTGAGTGTAGAACAGAGCCGTCGGGGCTGGACTCACCTCGCCGTCTGAGTTCTCGCTGGCTCCGATGTCGCTCTGGATGTTGGCAATGGGGCTGGTTGGGCCGGTCAGCAGAGAGGTGCCGGTGTCAACATGGCCTGGCAGCCCTCAGCGCAGGCGATGGCCTCTCCGTTCATGGTGATGCTGAGGGCAAGAAGCAAGTGAAGGTTCCTTGAGCCCTCAGGGGTACATCTCTCCAAGGAGGAACCAGGAGGTGACCCCCAGACATTTCTTCCCCACCCATCCATTGGCCAGTGAGTGAAATTTCTGTTCCTCTCGTTTACACATTCATTCATCCTGCATTCATTTATGCAACAAATATTTTGCAAGTGCCCACTCTCTGCCAGGCATGGGAAACGCAAAGCTAAACCAGACAGCCTCACAGTTCCAGGCTGCAGGGAGCTCCCGGCCTGGCTGGCAAGATAAGTTATGGTGGCAGAAGGGCAGGATGATAAGCCAGGCGTGCAGCAGGGAACAAAACAGGTCCAGGGTGAGAGGTGGTGGAGGGAAGCAGCCAGGGGAGCAGACACCCAGGGATTCCAGGCAGGTGAAGAGAGAAGGAGGACATCAACAGGGGACGGTATGCGGGGAGGGACAGAGACCAGAGGGCTGGGGCAGGAGTTGGAGGAACTGGTGAAATGCTAGCGTGGCTGGGCAGACATGAGGTGATCAATGTGTCCTGGTTTGCCTGGGATGGGTCCCGGTTTAGTACCGAAAGTCCTTCTCCTGGAGAATTGTTCACTCTTGAGAAATGACTTCACACAATTTCTTAGCCATTTTGCCCTACTTCTAGACTGAAAGTGACACATTTCTTCGAGTGGGAGGAGCATTGCTGGTTCCCAGGCCCGTTAAATTGAGATGTGTGGACAGGTGGTTGCCCAGCTTTCCCAGGGATGCTGGTGAATTGTTCTGCCTCCCGTGACTATTAGGACAGTGGCTATCTGACCCTTGCAGAGTTCGGCTTCCCAGACAGCTCTTCCCTTCTCCGCCCGGGACGTGTCTTTCTAGGGTTTCTCTGGCTGGGCCAACTTCCGCCTTCCCCCTGGAGTGTGTTCCCCTGTGTCAGCTCTCCCTGGGGGGATTCTGGAAAGCTGGTTAGCTATGAATCCATAAGGAAATGGGATGTGGGGCCAGGCCTGGATGCTGCCTGTCTGTGCAGTCCCACCTGTCCACGGAGATCTCCAGTAACCCTCGACAGAAACAGGAACCCAGTTCAGACTTCCAGTGTAGTAAGAAGAGTCAATGCCACCAAATATCACCACGCTGCCACTCCTGGTCATCGCTGTGGAAAGTGAGGGAAGAAGACATGAATTTCTCTGTTCGTTCATTTGTGTGAACATCTGCTGTTGGCTCCTCGGAGCTACCCTTGATTGGGTACTTGGCAGGCTGTCCTGGGGTGTGACAAATGTGGTTTCTTGTCCTCTTAGGCCAGGGCCCACGCAGTGGACACTGTCACTGTTATTTCCACTTACCATGAGGACACTGAGCCTGAGGGAGGTGAGGTCACCTGCCAAGGTCACACAGCGGGGAGTGGTGGAACTACGTTTGGAAGAACACGGGTCTTTTAGGTTGATGTGTGGTTTCCACTGTGGTACTCACTCTAGTTGCCATGGCAACCCCAGGGATGTGAATGGGTGACAGGTCGGCTCTTAAGGACTTGATGGTGGAGATCTCTTTGTTCTTAGCTGGAGCAGTTTTGCCCCCAGGGGAATGTCTGGAGACATTTTGGATTGATTGGGTGGGGGTAGTGGATGCTACTGGCATCTAATGTTAGAGGCTGGGGATGCTGCCAAATGTCCTACAATGCATGGGACAGTCCCTGGCAAGGACTTATGCTGGTCTGAAATGTTAATAATGCCCAGATTGAGAGACTCAGATCTAGCTGGGGAGATACAACGGCCCCACGTGAAATATTTAAGTGCTCATAAAGGCAGATTATGTTTCAGAGCCACCTTGAACATCAACTGGCCAAGAGGAACACATGACAAAGAGCCTTCCTGTTGTAAATTGCAGGAGTCCTTGTATTTCAATATCATTTCTAAATCTTTGCAGTTTCAGGGTAGATGCAGAACAAATGTAGATGGCAATAAGAAATCAGTCATCGGAGAACTGGCCATGTATAAAACATGACCCCCTCACTGAACCCACCCACCTTTGCTGTGAACGTCTCACAGTGTAATGCTATATAGCGAGGACCTAGATGTGTAGTTACGAACCGAGGAAACAAGTGAATGACGGCAAATCCTTTCAAAAGACGAGGACGTTCGTGAGTGTTAGAGGAACGTTGAGTGTCTTAAGAAAGTGGATGATGCCCTCAGATATTCTTGCTAACACTCTACTCAGCCCAAATTGACACTTGATTTATTCTTTGTTCATTTGTTTGTTTGTTCATGTATTTCTTTGTTCATTCTAGAATTAGCCCACGGTCACAAATGGAACTAGGTTTTATTAAATCACAAAAAGAAACTGCTTTCATGATTTAAAAATGTCATCATCCATGATATATTTGATCAAATCTTTTCATTTTTGTGTTATGAAATTTTGTTCTGTTTTAAGTGTATTCACTTTGTTTATTTATTTATTTATTTTCTGAGATGGAGTCTCGCTCTGTTGCCCAGACTGGAATGCAGTGGCCAATCTTGGGCTCACTGGCAGACCTCCGCCTCCCAGGCTCAAGCGATTCTCCCTGCCTCAGCCTCCCGAGTAGCTGGGTGTACTGGTGCCTGCCACCACGCCTGGCTAATTTTTGTATTTTTTAGTAGAGACAGGGTTTGCCATGTTGACCAGGCTGGTCTTGACTCCTGACTTCAGGTGATCCTCATGTCTCAGACTCCCAAAGTGTTGGGATTACAAGCATGAACCACCGTGTCTGGCCAAGTGTATTCATTTCAGTGGCATCTTTGGGGGCCAAGGATGAGGGAACTGGCACTGAGGGGCAAATGGGCTAGGACATTTGAGTTGTGGCACATCAAGGGGATAAAGATGCTGGTAATGAGATGGAGTGCACATGCCCGTCAGAGAGAGACTTGGCACTATCACTCTCCAAAGACACATTTCTCTAGCCTCAAAAATTGACTTTCCAAATCCCTTGCATTCCCAAGACCCTCTCCATCGCAGCCAGCCTTGAACAGCTGCTGCTGGGCCAGAACACTGTGACCTCTGGAGGGGGAGGTGGGAGGAGGCCCTCTCCACCCAACTTACGCGCTCAGGTAGAAAGAGAAGAGGTCCTGAGAACCAGGCCCTGGTCCCAGATGTTGTCAAAGACGGGTGTGGGCCCCGGACGAGGAAATGTGGGGTAGGCCAGCCCCAGGATGCCGTCGAAGGAGCATAATACAGGAAGGAGCCGGTTCGGGTCTCGCTCAAGCCGAAGATCTGATTGGTGTCCGAGATGCCTCCAACCTGGGTGGGGGAACCGAGATGATGTTCACCATCAGGTCATGTCCACTGAGCTCTGGGTGCCAGCCTCAGGCCCACAGCTGCCCTGGTTCATCCCATGCAGGACTTGGCTTCTAGGGCATCAGCCCAGAAGGAGGGGGAGAGGGACTGTCTCCTGGAATGCTCGTTCCTTGCTGGAGGTAACCATGGCAGCTGATCTGCAGATGGCCACGGTCTAGATACTCAGTGTGAGATTTTGTGGAGAACAGATTCACTGTATGTTTGTGTTACGGATGAAGAAATGCAAAGCAGACCCCGGGCGAATCAGGGCCTTTGACCCCTGCCATGCCCCAAAGTAGCAGAGAGGGCTTGTGGAGATTTGAGGACGTGGGGGGCTGCAGGTTGGGAGAAGGAGGAAGAGGAGGGAGGTGTAGTAGAGAATTGAGCCTTTACGGACTCTCCCCACCCTCCATAACATTCTGGCTTGGGTGAGCTGAGGGCTGGCTTATGGCTCCCGGCAGCCCACCCTTTTACTCACTGCCACCCGAGCTAGCAACGTCTGTGACATCTCTGCTGCTTCTCCCCCAGCCCGTACCCCCAATCAGGTTACTTTGTGATCACCGAGACTCATCGTGCTGGAATAAGCTGATTCTGGGGTGCCTGATGGCGGGATGCAGCGGCAGCCTGCAGGCGCCCACCTGGACAGTGTCGTATCGAGATGCTGTCATGCTGCCGGTGCCGTAGGTGATGGAGAGTGTCCGCTGGTGGACTGGTAGGTGGAGGAATCCTGAGGGTTGAAGAGGTTGTGGTTGGCTGCAACGGCAAGCGGTGATTGTCAGCCTCTGAGAGCTGGGTGAAGGTCACAGGCTGGGATGTCTTCCTGGGATGGGGTGCCTGGCCCCAGGAAGGCTCTGGAGTGAGCAGTGACCTTTTCCCCTAGACCTTGGACCCAAGAGACCCCATGTTCTGTCCTGTCTCATTGAACTCCTGGGACCCTTCACTGATGGCAGGTACCAGGCAACCCCAAGGGCCTACCGGGACTCCCAAGGCCAACATTGAGCTGAGCAGGCTGGTGGCTACCCAGTGACGAGCGCTTCACCCCCAGCCCGCGGCCAGTGCTCCCATTATGTGGGATGATGACACAGGCACCCCATCTTAATTAAAACTCAGGTGAAAACATTAGAAGAGGAAGGAACCGCAACACACATTGTTCATGACTTCAAAGACAAGCTCTCTTTCATTAGCCAACCAATGATTTTTTTTTTTTTTTTAAAGGAGTCAGCACTCACCTCTAGCCTGTCGGGCCAGGCTTTGGAGCTTTCCTCACACTGGACTCTTTCCTAGCGGCTATTCTACAGCCCGTTGGCCCTGTCTTGCTTTGGGCCCTACATTTCTCTCCCAGGCTGTGGGTATTTTTGGGGAGCTTCTCTCTTCCCACAGATGGAAAATCTTTGACCGCAGGGTCATATCACTCATCCCTTTACCCCGTGGAGCACCTGCGCCCAGTGCTTGGCACGTAGTAGGTGCTCAGTAAATGCCTGTCGAGTGGCTCCCAGCAGGTTTGAGGGGGGAGGTGTCAGAAGCCACGGGTGTCCAGGGTTCCCCAGGGTCAGCTGGTGCTGGGGAGCGAGAGTGGGGTGGGGCGGCTGGGAACTTACTGGCACGCGAGACTGGAGCAGTAGACTGAGGGCACCCACAGGTTGGAGGATCCGGTGTCAAAGATCACGGTGAAATCCTGGGCAGGGGTTCCGATGCCGATAGTGCCGAAGTTACTCCACCTGCCGGAGGCCGGGACAGGGGCATTTCATAGACTGGGGTCTCTCTGTCGGGGCTCCCTAGGGGCACTCTCTGGGTCATCTCCTCAGCCCATCTTTCTACCTTTTCCTTCCTTCTCACAGTTCTTTTTTTTTTTGTTTGTTGTTTGTTTGTTTTGTTTTTTTTTTTTGAGACGGAGTCTTGCTCTGTACCCAGGCTGGAGTGCAGTGGCCGGATCTCAGCTCACTGCAAGCTCCGCCTCCCGGGTTTACGCCGTTCTCCTGCCTCCAGCCTCTCCGAGTAGCTGGGGACTACAGGTGCCCGCCACCCTCGCCCGGCTAGTTTTTTTGTATTTTTGTAGAGACGGGGTTTCACCGTGTTAGCCGGATCGTCTCTCAATCTCCTGGCCTCGTGATCCGCCGTCTCGGCCTCCCAAAGTGCTGGGATTACAGGCTTGAGCCACCGCGCCCGGCCTTCCTCACAGTTCTTGTCATTCCTTCCCAGCCACCGCCTTCATCCTGAAGCCCAGTCCTGGTGTGCTTCCTCCTTGGAAGTATTCCCTGATTGCTCCCCCAATTTATCGCCTCTGCTCTCTCCCTAAGACACACAAGCATCTAACAGTCTGCTGTCCCTCTTCAGCCATTGTCTTGTCTGTCACAGTCTTTCCTATACCAGCAGCATGTTCTCAGAGGATGGGGGGTGGAATCTTCTAGCACCGGGCAAGTGGACAGCTTAAGTGCTTGTGCTTAAATGTTTATCAGAAGCTAAGCAAGCCACCTAAAGATGGAAACCTGGCTGGTTTTCTTTTTCTACATCTAGATGTGTGAGCAGGTTGCAAGAAAGGCGATTGCCCAGTATTTTTCTTCTTTTTTTTTTCTGAGGCAAGTCTTGCTCTGTTGTCCAGGCTGGAGTGCAGTGGCACGATCTCGGCTCACTGCAGCCTCGCCTCCTGGGTTCCAGTGATTCTCCTGCCTCAGCCTCCCAAGTAGCTGGGATGACAGGTGTGTGCCATACACCCGGGCTATTTTTTGTTTTTTGTAGTAGTGACGGGGTTCACCATGTTTCCAGGCTGATCTTGAACTCCTGACTCAAGTGATCCACCCACCTCAGCCAACCAACCAGTATTTTTCTTCTGAGTGGCAGCATTTCCCCCGCTTGCCGGCTCTGTTCCCGCCACTCTGGTCTGCTTGCTGCTCCTTGGCGATTGACTAGTCACTCCTGCCCCAGGGCCTTTGCATTGCCTATTCCTTGTGCTAGGAAATGTTTATTCTAGATCTTTCTTTGGCTGATTTTTTTTTCAAAATCATATCATTCGGGTCTCTAGTCAAATGTCCCCTCTGCCAACAGTCCTTCTGTGACCACTTTATCTAAATTTGCTCCCCTCTCGATTTCTTTTCCCCATAGTCCAATTATTAATTTGTTCTTGGCCCTCATCAGTACCTGAAATATTTTCATGCTTGTTTATCTGTCATCCCCCTGTAAGAATATAAGCTCCAGGAACTTTGCTTATTCACCATCGTTTTGGCAACTTGCATAGCCTCTGGCACATAGAGAGGTGCCAATATTTGTTAAATATTTGTTAACTAATAATGCACTAACTAATCCTCTTACCAATGGCCTGCCAGACCCCATGCTAAGCACTCCAGAAACATGATTGCGTAATTCCTGGCAACAACCTCTGTTGGGTAGATATTAGTGTTTTTTGTTTTCCAGACCAAGAAACAGGCTCAGAGAATTTAAATGTCTTGGCCAATGTCCTGTGACTTAGAGGCACTAGAACCCTCATTGCAACAGGTCTGCTGGATGGTAGAGGCCAATCTCTGAACCACAGTCATCACTGCTCTGTGCCCTCTGCCCTGTTGCCAGGCACAGAGGGGCATACGATATCTGGTGGGAAGGGCAGGGTGTTTGCTATCGGGTCTCAAATAATAAGTCAGAGTGATTCTTTCTGAAACTCGGATCTGATTTTGTCACCCCCTGTTTGAGATAAATCGAGTGGCAGTTAGGATGGAGCCTTCTCCGTCCACCCTCGGTCCTCGGGCCGCAGTCTGCAGCACCTTCTTCCCTCCCTCTGCGCTCTCCTTCAAATGCCCTGTGCTCCCGCCTGCACAGGGTTCGGCACAAGTGATCAGGCTGTGCGGAGTTCTGTCTTCTCTTGAAAATTCCCGCTCTTCCTGCATGGCTCCGCGGAGGCTCCCTGCCCAAGTGCGAGTCTCATAGTGTGACACGTTCACTCTGTGGTCCTCCTGCTGCCTGTTCTTTTCATTGCTTTGCAAGACTCCTTGATTACTGTCTTTCTCTCCTTGGCTATGACTTTGCTCACTGCTGTTTCCTCCTGAGCCCCACAGAGGCCCTGACAATATAACGAGGCGCTCAGAAGAAGTGAACATTGCCAATGAACGAGTGAAGGAATGAATGAATGAACAGAGAAGCAACAGGCTCTGTGAACTTTCCTGCCTGCCCGGGCACTGACACCTAGGGGCAGACCCTGGGGTCACTGCCTGGAGCCTCAGAGCCCCGGCCCGTCCTCCAAGACCCCAGGGAAACCCTCTTTCCTGCGGCCAAGTCCTCAGAGCCGGCCCCGCGCTGCCCAACACTCACATCCAGGTAGTTCTCCAGGGGCTGTTCGTCTATCAGGGTGGGCGCCTCCGCTTGGGGAAGTACTTGCTGGCTGGGTTGAGGTTGTGCTTCTTCAGGAAGTCCTTCAGCAGGGCCATGCTCGGACAGGTTGCGCCTCAAGGACTTCTTTCTGACGAGGGGGACCCTGTGGTTTGGAGGAGGAAGAGGAATTAGGCAAGGATTCTGCTCACCGGGTTCTGTGGCAGCCCAGAAGGGGAAGGGAAGTCTGGTCTAGAGAGGAAGAAGGAAGGAAGGGAGACGCTCCCACGTCTGTGCAATAATGCAAAGAAGTTAAGTTGACTAGGGCTGGAGCTGGGACCAGACTAGGCTGGGCCTGATTTTAACCAGTCTGCCAGAGCTGCTCCCAAAGGGTGGAGAGAGAGGAGAGAAGGGGGATGGAGACAGCCCGAAGAGAGAGCGAGAAAAAAGGGAAGAAGGAAGACACAGGAGTAAAGAAGGGCGATGTGGGAGGCAGCCGTCTTCAACCCATGCCACTGGGACTCACTTGTAGATGATGCACTCAGAGAGCGCCACAGACCCAGCAGCAGCAGCCACTTCATGGTTCTTCCCAGGTCCCAACTCCAGGGAGAAGAAGACGGGAGGAAGGTGCAGAGCAGCAGCATGAGCTGCCCCTTATATCAATTGGGTCGTGCCTTATGGCCTCTTGGAAAGTCACCGTTCCCCTGATCCAAACAGAAAAGCTCCTGATAAGATTGTCGCTGGCCCGAGACAGTTCTGAGACTGTTCCAGCGGAGGCACTTTCCATTGTAACCTTGCACCATTGTGGACAGGGGCGGGGGGGAGGTTGCCATGGGGGTTGACCCGCAGAGGGAGAGAGAAGCAATGGCTGAAGGCTTAGTTTTCTTTTCTTTTGCTTCCCTCCCCTTCCCCTTCTTCCTTCCTTCCTTCTTCCCTCCTTGTCCCCTCCTCCCTCCCTTCTTTCTTTCTTCCTTTCTTCCTCCCTCCTCCCTCCCTCTCTCTCTCTCTTTCTTTTCTTTTTCTTTCTTCCTGATGGAGTTTTGTTCTGGTTGCCGCAGTCACAGGCTTATTTCTTTAGCATTGGACAAGGGCCCACGTTAACATTTACAAGCTGAGCATTTCCACAAGTTGGTTACAAGTGCGTTTACACAGCATTGGACAGACAGATGGGAAGGAGCCCCAGGTGGCCTGATTTGTCCCAGTGGGGCATGCCGCTGGGGTTCTTAGAGAGCAGCTCCCCGACTCAGTGATAGGTGGTACTGGCTTGTGGTCACTGCTTAGTCCACAGCACACTGGGGGGTCGGTCATTTGGGACTCAGGACACATTCCCCAGTTTAGTGTCATTGTGTGGGGTTGTTGGGCATGTGAGTAGCCTATGGGACTTCTAGCTTGCTTTTGGTGGCAACTGGGCTGAGTCTGGGAAGGGGATGTGCGCAGTACATGGGGAGGAGGGAGAGAGCACCGGCAGAATGCTGCCTTCCCTTCCTGGAGGAGGCAAACTTGAGACGGCCAGGTATTTCTTTGGAATCTGTGTCCCTCTCTTTCTGCACTCTTCTCTTTCTTTTGCTCCCTTCCCACCCTCTCCACCTTTGAGATCCCACTGGGTGTGATTTCTCCAGGTGCTCCAGGCTTATAACTGGGCTGAAATCAGCTACAATGGAGCAAGCAATCTGGGCAAAGAATTCATACTCGTGGGTGAGTGACTTAGAAATAGGATGCTTAGCTGGGTGCCGTGGCTCACGCTTTAATGCCAGTATTTGGGAGGCTGAGGCAGGTGAATCACCAGAGGTCAGGAGTTCAAAACCTGCCTGGCCAACATAGCGAAACCCCATCTCTACTAAAAGTAGAAAAGTTAGCTGGGCATGGTGGTGGGTGCCTGTAATGCCAGCTACTCCACAGGCTGAGGCAGGAGAATCGCTTGAACCCAGCAGACAGAGGTTGTGAGAGGTGAAGCCGGCTGGCTTCTGAGTCGGGTGGGGACTTGGAGAACTTTGTGTCTAGCTAAAGGATTGTGAATGCACCAATCAGCACTCTGTTGCTAGTAAAGGTTTGTAAATGCTCCAGTCAGCACTGTGTGTCTAGCTAATGGGGTGGGGAGTTGGAGAACTTTTGTATCTAGCTAATGGATTGTAAATGCACCAATCCGCTCTCTGTAAAATGGACCAATCAGCAGGATGTGAGTGGGGCCAAGTAAGGGAATAAAAGCAGACCACCGGAGCAGCAGCCGGTCCCCTTCCAGGCTGTGGAGGCTTTGCTGTTTCCTCTTTGCAATAAATCTTGCTGCTGCTCACTCTCTGTGTGCACTACCTTCATGAGCTGTAAACTCACTGGAAGGTCTGCGGCTTCACTCCTGAAGCCAGTGAGATCAGGAACCCACCGGGAGGAAGGAACAACTCTGGACGCCACCTTTAAGAGCTGTTACACTCACCGAGAAGGTCTGCAGCTTCACTGCTGAAGCCAGTGATACCACGAACCACCGGAAGGAAGAAACTCCGGACACATCTGAACATGTGAAGGAACAAACTCGGGCTCACCATATTTAAGAACTGTAACACTACTGTGAGGGTCCGCGGTTTTATTCTTGAATTCAGCGGAGAGCAAGAACCCACCGGAAGGAACCAATTCCGGACACAGTGCAGTGAGCGGAGATCCTGCGCTGCACTCCAGCCTGGGCGACAGAGCTAGACTCCGTCTCAAACAAACAAACAACAAACAACACACCAACAACAAAAAGAGGATGCTTACAACGCAATGGATCCTCCACTTTGTGAGCTTTTCATTAGTGGACAAAGTAGAGTGAAAACTCTGATGCATAAATTACTGGGGAAGAGGACAGGGGAGGTGGGTAGGTCCCAGGTAGATAGGAAGCCCTGTCTCAGGGTCTTGTTCTGAAATCACATCCCCTGGGGAATCCTCAGACTGTCCAGCCATGAGAGCCACAGGTTCTATAAAATCTCCAAGTTACCCCTAGTGCCTCCAGGTAAGTATTCAGAAGTGGGCAGTGTGGATAAGTTCAGGGACAGTGGTGGTTAGTAGGAAACACGTGGACATTTCAGACTTCCCTGTTAGTTGACATGTTTGTGCCCAAATGTGAATCCTGGGCTCATTATTTTTCTTTTGTTTGTTTGTTTGTTTGTTTTTAATTGAGACGGAGTCTCGCTCTGTCGCCAGGCTGAGTGCAGTGGCCTGATCTCAGCTCACTGCAAGCTCGCTCCCAGGTTCACGCATTCTCCTGCTCAGCTCCCGAGTAGCTGGGACTACAGGCGCCCGCACCTCGGCCGGCTAGTTTTTGTATTTTTTTTAGTAGACACAGGTTTCGCCGTGTTAGCCAGGATGGTCTCGATCTCCTGACCTCGTGATCCCCGTCTCGGCCTCAAAGTGCTGGGATTACAGGCTGAGCACCGGCCGGCGTTTGTTTGTTTTTTTAACTGTCAATCTTCTCCAGTATGACAGCCCTTGTATTTCCACGTTCACGTCTTCTGGTGCCTGCTTCTCTTCCTCTCTCTTTCCTCCCTCTCAAGCCTCTCTCTTCTCTCTCTTTTTTTTTTTTTTTTTTTTTTTTTGAGACAGGGTCTTATTCTGTCCTCAGGGTGGAATGTAGTGGGATGGTCATGGCTTACTGCAGCCTCAACCTCCCACGCTTAAACAGTCCTCTGGCCTCAGGCTCCAAGTAGCTGGGACTAAGGGCATGAGCCACACACCCAGCTAACTTGTATTTTCTGTAGAGACAGGGCTTCACTATGTGACCCAGGCTGGTTTCCATCTGCTTGGTCAAGTGATCCACCTGCCTCAGCCTCTCAAAGTGCTGGGATTACAGTGAACCACAGTGCACCTGGCCCTCTCTCTCTTTATGGAAACATATATTTTACATATTTTTTGGGTACTGTGATATTTGTTACATGCATAGAAAGAGTAATGATCAAGTCAGGGGTATTTGGAGTATCCATCACTTAAGTATGGGTTGATCCTGGCACTCATATGAAGAACTTGATGGTCCTGACGATGCCTGCCTAAGTTTTGGGGGCACCAGATGGAATCCCTTCACTCAAGGCTGCCACCAGATGGAAGGGAGGGAGTTTGGAGCCCAAGGATGGGTGCTGGTTTTGGGGGCACAGCTTGTCTTGGGCCCACATGGGAATTTTGAGCAGAGGAGAAGTATATTTGGGAAGTAGAAGGAAGATTCCCCAGGCAGAAACCTGCAAGCACCTTAACACATTCATTGGAATGCCTGATTGTGCACTCACTGTGTATCGTGCAGGGATGCTCTAGCTGCTGGGGGTACATCCCTGAGCATGGTAGGAATAGGCCATGCTTTGGTGCGTTTGTGATCAGTTAAGGGAAAGCTGGTGTGGAAGGGGCTCTTTCTTTCCACCTGGATGGATATTTGGATCGCATTGAGGGGAAGCTCTCAGATTGGTGAAGATGTTAATGTTTCTCCATATTGGAGATTTTAGCACCCTGAGGGATGCTGGTATGCTTGCTGCACCAATTCAGGGGTATGGCAGAGAGACTCTAGGATGGCCTCATTATTCATGCTGCTGGTGTTCACACCCCTGTGTAATCCCCTCCCCTTTTGTGTAGGCAGGACTTGCTTCTAACCAACAGGATACAGCAAAGTAGATGGGAGTTGCTTCTGCGATTACTTATACAGGCTCATAGCTTGTGTTTGCTAGCACACTCTCTGTATAGACTCTTCCCCTTGCTGGCTCTGAGAAAGAAAGCTGCCCTATAAAGAGGCCCAAGGGGAAGGAACCAAGGGTGGCCTCAGCCAACAGCCAGCAAGGAATCAGGCCTTCAGTGTGACAATCTGTAAGTAACTGATCCTGCCAGCAACCGTGTGAGCATGGAAGCAGATCCTTCTCCAGTCGAGCCTCAGATGAGACCACAGACCAGGCTGACATCCCTGACTGACAGAGGCCTCAGTTGAATGGAGCCTGGATTCCTGAGCCACAGAAACTGTGAGATAGTCAATGTGAGTTGTTTGTAAGTCATGAAATGTGTGTTAATTGTCATCAGGTCTTCAGCAATAGAAAACAGGACTGGAAACCTCGTTGAAATCTCCAGAAAGATCCACCTGCTGCCTCTTGCTCTTCTGTGTTTTGAGACCTTTTCAGTGCTCTGCTAGGTGGTTTTCTGCTCAGGCAATGTGAGTGATCTGAAAGGGGAAAGGTGACATTGTTGGTCAGGTCATTGCAAACCTCCCTCAACACAGCAGTGCTTATATTTCTGTGGCTCTTTGTGCTTTCTGAATGCTTTGAATTATTTTTAAAAAGAATTATTATCGATTACCCCAGTTTTTCCCAACTGACATAGCTCAGAGGGGTTAAGTGATCAGTGCAGGTTCACATAACAAGTAATGACACAGGTGGGAGCTGAACCTGGGTCTCAGGGGACTCTGGTCCCTGACCAGACTGTGTGACCATGTAAATCCACCCGGTTTCTGTTCATGGGTTAGTGTGTGACATGTACATTCCATGATGGCTGCAGCCTCCATCCCAGGAGCACTTGGAGAAGCCATTCCACTCAGCCCCTGTTACCAGAGGAACCCTTGGGATGGAAAAGGGAATCCTGATTCTGCCAT